GGAAGTTCGTCTGAAGCCAGACTGCCTCTTAGATATTCTCTTAAACTGATTAGAAATGGCATTTCCTTTCAGGGTTGTTTTTTTTTTTTTTTTTTGGTAGAGTCTCTTCAATTATCAGTACAGTTAGTCCTCGGCTTACAACAGTTCATTTAATTCAGTTGATTTAACTAATCAAAGAGAGAAACGACCTGGAATTAAGGAGGAACTTCCCAACAGTGAGGACGATTAACCAATGGGACAGCTTGTCTCCAGAAGTTGTGGGTGCTTCGTCACTGGAGGTTCTTAAGAAGAAATTGGACAATCATTTGTCTGAGATTGTATAGGTTCTCCTGCTTGACCAGGGGGCTGGACTAGAAGACCTCCAAGTTCCCTTCCAACATTATTATTCTATGTTCTAATTCTATGTTCTAATTTCCTGATAATTAGAACAATTAACCGGTGGAACTGCTTGCCACCAGAAGTTGTGGGTGCTCCATCACTGGAGGTTTTGAAGAAGAGACTGAACAGTCTGGAATGGTGTAGGGCAGAGGTCCCCAAACTTGGCAACTTTAAGATTTGTGGACTTCAACTCCCAGAATTCTCCAGCCAGCCAGCCACACACACACACCCCCGCCCACTCTCTCTCTCTCTCTCTCTTTAGTCTCTCTTTCTTCCAACTCTTTTTCTTGGAGGACCATGCACAGAAGGGCTACCAGCTATGCTGGCTGGAGAATTCTGGGAGTTGAAGTCCACAAGTCTTAAAGTTGCCAAGTTTGGAGACCTCTGGCATAGGGTCTCCTGCTTGAGCAGGGGGTTGGACTAGAAGGCCTCCAAGGTCCCTTCCAGCTCGATTCTATTCTATTTAGTGACCATTCAAAGCTACGACGACACTGAAAAAAAGCGACTTAGGACCATTTTTCACACTTACGGCGGTCGTAGCATCCCCTTGGTCATGTGATCTAGATTCAGCCACTTGACCACAGATTCATATTTATGACGGTTGCCGTGTCCCAGAGGACCATGTGATCCCCTTTTGCGGCCTTTGGACAAATAAAGACCATGGGGAAGCTGGATTCACTTTACAACCTTGTTCCTCACTTAATAACCGTAGCAATTTGCTTAACAAGTGTGGCCGAGGAAGGTCGTATAATGGAGCAAAACTCACTTAGCAAATGTCTCACTTAACGACATCAATTTTGGGCTCCATTGTGGTCATAAGTCGAGGACCCCCTGTAAACGGCGGTCCAGTCTCTTCTCTAACTGCAGGGACAGCAACTGCAAACTGGGGGGTCTCGGGCACTCAGGCCTCCTGACGGTGGCAGGGTCACCTCTCCTTGACCTGCAGGGGGCAGCGTTAATAAAGCCCATACATCCCGGGGCTGAAATAATCCATGTTTAATGCAATAATTACATGCATAGCTCTAATAAAGAACAGAAGCACACAGCAAGCCAGCTGTTCCCAGCTCGTGGCATTAATCACTGCTTAGCATAGTAATCCTTTAATAATGCCCTGCACACACATACACACACACACACACAATCATAGAAACGCACACACACACCCCTCTTTCCCCCACCCCCTAGGTGCCGTTGCATGGAGATTCTGCTTTGCTTTCGTAGGATTTGCAGCAGACAGCAATTCCGGGGCCAAGGCTAAAGGCCCGATGTTCAGCGAGCGTCTTTTCCCTGGGCCAATCAAGACTACTCCAGCAGTTTTAAATGCCACCGAAAAATGCTGGTTGCTGACCCAAGCAATCTGTGAAGCACAAAACATTGTGCATTCCTCCACTGACCCAGTAAGAACCTTTGCCCCCACCCCCCCCCTTTTTTTTTAGTATTCAGTGTGAAACGGGCTGTCATTCCTTGTTAAGGAAATTCCATTCAATCAGAGTAGAGCTGGAAGGGACCTCGGAGGTCTTCTAGTCCAACCCCCTGTTCAAGCAGGAGACCCGAGACCATCCCAGACAAATCTCTTCTTAAAAGCCTCCAGTGATGGAGCTTTCCACAATTTCTGGAGGGAAGCTGTTCCACTGGTTACTTGTTCTCACCGTTAGGAAGCTTCTCCTTAATTCCAGGTTGAAATATATCAGACTGGACTACAAGTCCCAGCATCCCCATGGTATTCCCTGAACCATGGTGCCCAGCATCCCTAGGCAGCAAAAGCAGTGATTTGTAGTGGTGTGTGTGTGTGTGTGTGGGTGTGTGTGTGTGTGTGTATTATATGTATATAATATAGATAAGACAGACAGATTTATTTAGAAATTTATTTATTTATAGATGTATTCGCAGCATTACAGTCCCTGAGTAGTTGCACCCGTTTTGTTAATCGACTCCTCACTCAATCTAATCTGAAAGAGAATTTCTCATCATGGGAAATAAGCGAGAGGCTGAATGTTAACTCCAGGAATGAGGAAGATGACTAAAACTGAATTTACTGGGGTGGGAACAGCCCTCTGCACGTGTTCTGCATCCTTGCCGCTTGCTTGGCGTTTGACTGCAGCTTAGAAACAAACAAACAAACGAAAAACCCAGATCTGGGTTAAACTTGCTGTTAAGCATGGATTTGCATCTGCAACAGAAATTTCAAAATGTCTTCTGCCGTCAGCCCCAGGATAAAAGCAAGGCGTGCATGGAAGGGGGGGGTCTGAAGCCCACCCCTTGATTTGTATATTGTATTTTGTATTTATTTGATTTGTCAATCACTTACAAGATACAGGTGTAAGAATAAACATAGTTTTGAATACATGATTAGCCCCTCTGCCCAGTGCTGGTTGTTGCTTTAGGGTGACAGCTTCTTGAATTGTGACCCTGGGTGCTGCAAACCCCATAATTCCTCTCAAGCTCTTTGTACCCCCCCCCCCCCCCCCGAAGACCCATTACTCACAAGGAAGAGCTGGCCTTGTGTTACGGGACCGATGAAAAATAGGGGTTGCAACTCTGGGTGGATGTCAGGGCAAGGAAGAAAATGCCCTGGAATATTAGACATGACTCAACGGTGACTTGAACAGGAGCCAGCTGTCCAGGCGAAAAGAGGGTTTCGTTTTGCATTCAAACCACACCATCTTGGGGCTGCAGCACAGCTAGTCCTCGACTTACAAACAGTGTCATGCCCCTGTCGGAGTCTGAATCCGACGAGGAAGACGAACAGTTGACAGGGAACAGGAGTGTGGCTCTGTTGGCTGTGGAGGAAACTGGGGAAGGGCAAAGTCCGGCTGGGCAGAGCAGGGGAGAGGTAGAACAAGGGAGAGGGAGTTGAGAGGAAGAGCCAGGCCCACCGCCTCTTCATCCTAGGGCACGCAGGGAGGAATGGAGAAGAGAGCAACAAAGGTTGCGTGGCTTACGGGGGAGGAAAGGGCCCTGATTCCCTTCATTAGCCACAGCTGGGAAGAGAGTTCAACAGAGATGCTTGCTGAGTGCAGCAGCTGCTGGGAGCAAACTTGAGTTTATCTTGTGTTGACTTTAGTTATCTGTGTTCTTGGCGGGTTGAATTACTGCTGTTCCTTCACGTCTGGAATTCCTTCTCCTGCCCTGCCGGATTAATGACCTCATCTTGCCATGCTTGGACTTATAGTTCCAGTTTTTGTTGACCATGTTTTGGCCTTGATTCCCTGCAGCCAAAGGCTGTTCCTGGGAGAGTTTTTCTCCAGCCCAGAAGGTAACCAGGACCTTGGGGGCAAAGTTGGAGCTAATAAAGGGACTCCTACTGATTATCTGACTGTGTTGCCTTTGTGCCACGTCCCTTTGGGTCATCACAAACAGTTCATTTAGTGACCAAAGTTACAGCATCCCTTCAAAAAAGGGACTTTGGATTGTTTTCCCCACTGTGGCCGCATCCCCAGGGTCACATGATCAAAATGTAGGCGTTTGGCCACTGGCTCATATTTACGACAGCCACAGTGTCCTGGGGTTATTTTTTGCGACCTTCTAATGAGCAAAGTCAGCGGGCAGGGAGGGGAAGCCAGATTCACTTAATGACCCAGTGACCAACTTAACAACGCAGCGATTCATGTGACAGCTGTGGGAAGAAAAGCCCTAAAATGAGGCAAAAGTCCCTTAACAGCAACGTCTCGCCTAGCAACAGAAATGTTTGTGCTCCCTTGTGGTCGTAAGTCGAGGATCCCTCTACACTGGGCAAATGCTGAAGCTAACTCTGCTCCAGCCCATTGAACCCAACCCTGTTCGGACACGCTCCGTCATTACAACCCACCTCTTTGCGCAGCGGATATCATCGCCCCCGTGCTAGGCACCTCGGGCAGAGGAAGGATGGCGAAACCAGGCCTTGGTCGGACCGCCTCCCCCCCCTCTCCTGATACCTCCAGCCTGGTTGCCAACATCTACCCTCCAGCCAAAGGCATCAGCCTCCCAAGTGCCCCCTCTCCGCTTGCCAGCCAGCTGCAAGGAGGGATTAATTACCACTCCGTTGCAAATGGAATGAAGCTGGCGCAGTGTCGGTCAGCAGCTGCACCGGGATGTGGATTAACGTGGAGCCGCTGCTGCAAGTGATGTGGTGGAGGGCCCCTCCCTCTCCTCCTCCTCCTCCCCCTGCCCCCAGGACTGGGCAGGAACAGGAATCCTTTCCTGGATCTCTTGACGTTCCGGTCCACCTCCAGCGTGAAACAGCCTTCCTTCAAGAATTCCATTGGGATCCTTTCCAGCTTTAAAGATGCTCTAGATCAGGGGTCTCCAACCTTGGGAACTTTAAGACTTGTGGCTGGCTGAGGAACTCTGGGAGTTGAAGTCCACAAGTCTTAAAGTTCCCAAGGTTGGAGACCCCTGCTCTAGATGCTTCGGGAACAGGAGAGGGAAGAGAGCCACTTGCTAGCAGAGAAAGGGAGACTGTTTGCTTTTTGGTGGCAGGAATATTCTTCTTAGCCGCACTTAGCTGGGTGTCAGGTTGGATAGAATGAATGAGCCCGGAAGGGACCTTGAAGGTCTTCTAGCCCAACCCCCTGCTCAAGCAGGAGAATACTCTACTATTTCAGACAAGCGACTGTCCAGTCTCTTCTTAGAAACCTCCAGCGATGAAGCATCCACAACTGAAAGTCTTAAACCGAGGGACAGAATCAAGATCACGGGAAGTATTAATACCACTTGATAATGCCATGGTAAGGCCACACTTGGAATATGACATCCAGTTTTGGTTGCTGTGATGTAAAAAAGATGTTGGCTCTCTAGAAAGAGTGCAGAGAAGAGCAACAAAGAGTTTTAGCGGGCTGGAGGCTAAAACATACGAAGAACGGTTGCAGAAACTGGGCCTGGCTTGTCTAGTGAAGAGAAGGCCCAGGGGAGACACGAGAGCAGTCTTCCAATCTCTGAGGGGCTGCCCCAAAGAAGAGGGAGTCAAGCTATTCTCCAAAGCACCTGAGGGCAGGACAAGAAGCCATGGGTGGGAATTAATCAATGAGAGAAGCAACCTAGAACTAAGGAGAAACTTCCTCACAGTGAGAATAATTAATCAGTGGAACAACTTGCCTCCAGAAGTTGTAAATGCTCCAGCACTGGAGGTTTTAAAGAAGAGATTAGATAGTCACCTGTCTGAAATAGTATAGGGCAGGGATCCCCAACCACCGGTCCCTGGACTGGGACCGGTTCGTGGATCATTTTTTACCGGGCCGCAAAGCTTGGGCACCGCCATCTTGTTTTGACGGCGCTTCCGGGTTTTCGGTTGGAAAGCGGCGTTTGGATGCTCTCGCCTTAGTTTCGTTGAAGGGGGGGGGGCGGCTTCGAACGAAGAGCCGTCCCGATGGCGGTGGAGTCTCGCGTTACTCAGGTACCGCTCCGTGGAAGAATAAATAATCGTGAAACCGGCCCCTGGTTCAAAAAAGGTTGGGGGCCACTGGTATAGGGTATCCTGCTTGAGCAGGGGGCAGGACTAGAAGACCTCCAAGGTCCCTTCCAACTCTGTTGTTCTAATTCTTCTAATACGTCTGGTGGCAAGTTGTTCCACTGGTTAACCATCCTCACTGTTAGGAAGTTTCGCCTTAATTCCAGGTTGCTTCTCTCCTGGATTCATTTCTTGGGTCCTTCCATTCCCATCAAAGGCTGAAGGGGGAAGAGGGAGGTGGACAAATGGGCAGTGTGGTTGTGTGCACATGACAGGAAATGGGGAGGAGGCCCTGACAGGATATGAAGGCCAAAGAAGCCCGGGGCCAATTTGTACTGCTGGCTCAAGGCCACGCCCCCTGAGAAAGTAGGTGGGTTGCCCAGCGCACCTCAGCGTTCTCAAAGCACCGTGGCGAGCTCCGATTGGCGGGACGCGAGTAGCTCCTGCTGCTGCCCTTCCCATCCCTTTTCCTTCAGACCAAGGAGGGTCTCCCCACCCCACCCCCAATATTTGGGGCCCGTGTGGAAATGCGAGAAGCCGGCCTTCTTCGTTTTTCGACTCGGAGTCCCCGACTTCGGCTGCTTCCTGCAGCTCTGGCTCCGTCGAGAGGTTTCATCCCGGCCTTTTGAAGTCCAGCCAAGAAAAGGACCCATTTAAGAACAAGCGCTTTAATCCTTCGAAATACAACCCCCACCCAGGGAGATTTCAGCTGCCCCCTTTTTAATTGCCGGAGCTGCTTACGGATGAGATCATGAGCTTATCAAGCCCTGTGCAGATTGCCGGTTGTAGTGTTGTGCTGGTGTGTGTGTGTGTGTGTGTGTGTGTGTGAGCACGGGGATGCTGCTACAGTCGAGTGTGTGAAAAAACGATCACAAATCCCTTTTTCAGTGCCGTTGCAACTTTGAACGGTCACTAAATGAGTCTGTTGTAAATCGAGGACTACCTGTATTCCAGTTAGAAATTGGCAGGATGGTTGGGCTAGGAATAAAAGCAGCTTCCGTTACAAGGGATGGAAACTCATCCAGGAGAGAAGCAACCTGGAATTAAGGAGATATGTCCTAACGGTGAGGACAATTAACCAGAGGAACAACTTGCCACCAGAAGTTGTGGATATTCCAACACTGGAGGCTTTTAAGAAAATATTGGACAACCACCTGTCTGAAATGGTATAGTGTCTCCTGCTTGAGCAGGGGGTTGGACTAGAAGACCTCCAAGGTCCCTTCCAGCTCTATTCTGATCAATTTTGATCAAGATTGGTAGCCCTGAATTCACCTCCTCTATGTTGGGAGATAGAATCCTAGTTTCGGGCCAGTGGGCTTTGTTTCGGCGCTATCAGATACCCCCTTGCCAAAGAATCCAAAGCTGGTTTGTTTTTTATCCTTTTAATATCCTGGCCTAGGCCACATCCCAGTTATTCCCAGTGCACCAGGCTGATTCAGACCAGCTTTCCCCATTTCCAGCTGCCAAAGAAGCTGTTGAAATTATCTTTCAACAGGAAAGGTAATTATTTGGGAGGGAAGACTCCAGCCATTAAACCCACAAATTTGGGCCAATGTCAGTTCAACAGATATCAAGAAGACGGGGGTGATATCTGGCTAATATCTAGAGAAAAGAAAAGATGGAAATCCAAATGCTTTAATAAAAACTTCTTTGGCTTCATGCAGAATGAAAGTCTGACTAATTAACAGCACAACATGTTATAAGGTTAATATTTTTCCCCTCCTGTGTGTTTGTGTTTTTAGTTTTTACTTTTAATTTTTTTTTTTAAAGAATAAAGATTATTTTGTTAGAGAAAAAAGTAAAGATTTTTTTAAATTACAGGTTGTCCTTGACCTGCAACCATTCATTTAGTGATGGTTTAAAGTTACAACAGCACTGAAAAATTGATTTGTGACCGGTTTTCACACTTAAAAACATCATATCATTCCCATGGTCACATGATCAAAACTCAGACGCTTGGCAACTGGCATGTACTTAAGACTGTTGCAGTGCCCCAGGGTCACGTGATCTCCTTTTGTAAGCTTTCCAGCTGGCTTCCAACAAGAAAATCAGTGGGGCAAGCCAGATTCACTTAATGACCACATGATTTGCTTAACAACTATAGTAATTCGCTTCACAACTATGGCAAAAAGGTTGCAGAATGGGGCAGAACTCACTTAACGACTGCCTCGCTTAGCAATGGAAATTCTGGGCTCAATTGTGCCTGTAAGTTGAGGACTACCCGTGATAGTTTTAAAAGCTGGACAAAGAGTTGGAGAAATCTGGATTCAACCCTATTTGTTGCTGTAGAAATTCACAATATGACTTTGGACCAATTCTTGCCTCTTTCTCAGACCAGTGTACCTTTGCCAGGGTTGTTGTTGTGGAGTAGGTGAGGGGTACATTGCTGTAACACACACACGCACGCACGCACACACACATTAAAAAGGTGCAACAAAGGATGTTCTTCCTGCTTCCCAAGAAAGCTCAGATCACCCCAGGAGCTGATATATATGTATAAGCTCGATACTCATGCTTAGCTATGAAACTATGTGGTCGGGCTTAGTTTTAGGGGAGGAAAATAAGGGGGAAAATTCTGCCTCTGCCTACCAGCATCCATCAGTATTCATCTGGCTAGCATTCTGTCAGTGTGTGAGAGAGTTGAGGGCTGTTTGGAAACAGAAACTATTTGCTGTGTGAGCAAGGAGACAGCAAGGAGCCTGGGCGTGATTTAGCTCAACTGTTCTGTCCTAAAGCTGCTTGCTGCTGTGAAACTGAAACTGAAACTCCTCTGCTTGTGTTTTGCATTTGGAAGAGATTTCTTTTCAGGTGGGGCGCGGGAGTCCTTAGCATCAGAGCGTATTAATAATAATAAATAATAAAAGAAATACTAAAGCTCTGATGGTCGTTTTGAAAAATTCTTTCTTAGTGAGCCCCTAGAAGCCAAGAGGAACATATGCGCCAAATTTCAGGTTTTTAGGCTTTACGATTCTGGAGATGTTGTGATGATGCATGAGTGGCATTTCGCTTTTATATATGGATGTCAATAACTCTCTGGTTTGGCACAGCAACCAAACAGGGGAGGGACAGACAACCTGAATACCACAGGAGCCAGAAAGGGGGCTGAGAAAGTATCTGCAGACCCCTCTCATCCTGGATGTAAACTGTTTCAACTCCTCCCCTCGGGATGGCGCTGCAGGGCATTGCACGCCAAAACAACCAGACATGCCACCACTCTGCTGAACAACTAAGTCCCACAGCATTGTCTGACTTCTCTTCTTTCCTACTATCTTCTCCTATTTGGTTTCTTAACGATTTATCAATGGTTGTTTGTAAGTTACATTTAATGCTCGTAACTATGATTTATGACCTGTGAACTCTTACTTGATGTTTATGTGAGCTTATGCACTGGGAGACAAATTCCTTACAAGTGTCTGATCACACTTGGCCAATAAAGAATTCTATTCTGTCCTGTTCTATATTTTATTCTACATTCTATTCAATTTTACTCTATATTTATTCTTTATTTTACTCTCAGCCAATAGAGATCTGTTCTGTTCTATTCCTTATTCTTATTCCTATTCTAATTCCTATTCTATTCCATTCTATTCTATTTTAATTCCTATTCTATTGTATTCAAATTCCTATTCTATCCTGTGCTATTCTATTC